TCAGGAAAAGTCCGGCGATTTTCCACATCGGCGTCCACGGTGTGACGCCACCGATTATTAATAAGATGAATCCCTGTTTTCTTATTCTTTCCCGTTGTGAAAGCAACACATTTATTTTCGGTAAAACTTGCTCGGTACAGTCATGCAGTTCGAAAACTTGCGTAACGGTGACATCATAATGCGCGCGGACGAAAATACTGTATCGGTCCCAACGGCTCGTATCGTTTTTCTTGATCACGTTCGTGTCGGAATGCTTCCCGCTGTGGCGATAAGTTGCATTGAAAAGTTCGATTTAACACCATTTTTACCGATATTCTGTATTATACAATTCACCGAATTAATTTCGCGATGACTTAGGAATGAACATAGGAACATAGGAACATTAGCGATGAACATAGGAAATAATTTGTATTAAAAATTATTAAAAGATGTTTTAATCCCTTCGATGAAAATAGCATTAAATAGAAATGATTGAAAGGCGTCTTTTGATATTTTCGATAGAAATAGTGTTAAAGGCTGTAATTATTTAAAAATAACTCGAATAAAATTCGAACATCGTCTGCGCAAAATTTACCGAACGATTGTTTCGAACTATTATTTACGATTTATAGTTGCGAACATTTTAATAAAATGTTCAACGGCGACAGCAACTTCAATCGGGTACCAATGACCTATATATATCTCGGTAAAATAAATAATTTCGTTTGGGATTATCATGCAAGCTGAAATATTTAACACTTTGCACTCGAAACTGTTTTAACTTAAAAATTAAGGCATCTTTTCCAATATATAGCACTTTCATTTCGTATGATTTTTGGATCATATACGTATGAAATTGTGATTATTTGCTCGTACAGTGTTTACATTTTTAACAATTCTGTAAATGTAAACCAATTTAGTAATGTGAAAATTACTTTGAAGAATGATATACATAGCTATTTTTAGTGGTGTCGTGTCAGTCACATATGACTGACACTAATTTTTGATTAGATTTTTGAAACTCATTTTCCTATGGAAAACCTTATCTTTCTTGTTTCGGTTATGAGAATTTTTGTAGTTAAAATTTGGCACTTAGCGTGTTTGGATTTCCCTTATTATAGCATAAAAATTGAAAATCCTATTAATAGGCTTCCAGGAAACAAAGTGTTAATATTTACGTGTTTTTATCGAGGTGTACATTTAAGATGAAAACTGTTTTTATTGAAGATAAAATAACTTAACAGATTGTTTTAAAAATAAACAAGTGCGGGGATATTTATATTACTATGACTATGTTGCGGAGAACGATAGATAAACTATATATGATGAACTTTATAATAGGAATAAATATCTGAACGTTTGTTCAAAGAAATTGTGTATACAAATCGAAATGCGCGTAGAAATAAAGGTTCCACGGTTCGAAATTTATTTTTATTTTTACGAAAATAATCAATACCTACCTGTCAGGTAACGAAACGTAAGAATGAAATTGTCCGATATGGAAATATGGAAAAATTATGATTAAATAGATTTTGCTCGGTAGTTGGAAGGTGAACAATATCGCTTTAGTATTATTAGAATATTGTTAAAAGAAATTCTTAAAGTTTTATTTTCTGATCGCACGACTTCTGTGTTTTTAAAGAATGTTTTGTTTAGGCTGTGCGGATCTTTGAGTAAAATAAAAACATTTTGCATTAGTTGCAAGGATGATAAGTTGCAAATAGAAAATTCTCTTTTTCCTTGATAATTTTCATAGATTCACAATGACATATTGGTGTCTTTAAAATTGTTAAACCATTCTATTGTTTTAAATTTCGCTAGCTCTATGTTTGCCATGAATGCATAAAATCTGCAGTCTAGTTATTATGTTTTACAAGAAAAATTATGTTTCTTCGACTAACAGTTTTATTGTCTGTGTATCGTGTGCGAAAACTGTGGCATTGAATAACATACCGCAGTGTTTGATTTCATGAAGCGTAACGTATACAGTGAGTGTACAAAGTATTAGTGCAGCAAGTAATTTCAAAGGAAACTTTGCGTAACTCGGTTTGCTAACAAGCTTTCTTAAAGTAAATCATTTATGCGTATTCTTATAAATATTTAGAATGAGTTTCATGAAAGAAGAATCTAGATACCCGCATAATTGAAAATATTCAAGGAAATTTCTCATAGCTTCGGTTTACTAAGGGCATAATGTATACTGCTATGTTTTTGTTATATTGCGAAGTTTTTCAGTGCAAACAAAAGGCAGTCACTTCTCTAATAATATTAACATATTTGGAGACTTCGACATGATCGATAACGTTAAAAATAAAGTCGTATCAATAACGGCAGAAAGAAAAGCCGCAGGAGCAAAGAAAAGAGAAAAATAATTAGAAACTCGCATAAACGGTGTAAAAAATCTTTTGGAAATTTTGCAAATTGTCGGCACACCATGATCTACGATTCGGAGTATAATCGATCGATGTAAACAGATTTATGTCGTAAAATATTAGTATCATGGTATAGTTTTTAATAATAATTTCCCTATAATTTTTCTGTAAATATGAATTTTTATGAATTATTATGAATGCATAAATATCTGCGTAAAGAGTTGCAGGAACACAGACATGGTCGATCCCGACACCGTACCTTTTACAGATGACAGTAAAATATGTTTGGCTCAGATGTAGCTGTGCAATACGATATGAAAAAATCAACAACGCAATGCTTAAAACTTGCAGCGTATGATAAAGCATCGTGGCGATTCTGTGGTGTGTGTTTTGGGCTACACGAGTGTAACCGGTGTTGGCGGGTTATATTTTGTATTCGGTGTAATGGACCGTAACGTGTACCGTTAATATTTTAAAAAACCCACCACCATTCCATTGGGGAAGAAAAGGGGTCGAAAATAATTTTACCTTGCTGGAAAACACGGATCACGAACATGTTGTTTATAACCAGACCGCGGTTTTAACGGATTTGTAATAAAGGGAAGTAGCTGCAACTTGAAACCGTAGGAAGATTCGAGCAATTGATGAGTGCCATGAAACGGTTGAAACAAAATTCAGTGGAATATGAATTTGTTGCATCTCTTTCAAAAGCAACAGCCGTGCGTTCATCCTACTTATTATTCGACCATTACTGTCTGTTACGCAGAATTTCTTTGAATATTTTGAATATTATGAATATCCCAGTTCGTGAAATGAAATATATTTCAGATATTTACATATTTATTTCAGACATAGAAATACGTACAAAGTCTTTGTATCAAATAAGCTTGTTAACCAGCTTATTTATGCAGTGTACTCTCACTGCAGTTGCAGTCATTAGCATGTATAAGCCGTCTATCGACATGTTTAACAATACAAACATTATCATTCTAAAACGTTAGAAGCTTTTGTCATCTCTAAAAACAATTGCAAAAAGTAGCATCAATGACGCAGGTGGCATCAGCAATGTGCAGCAACAAGTGACATTTTCATCACCATTGAAGTTCAATATTTGCATAATTACTATGGATACTGCGATTCTATTGCAGTTTGTGTCCACTAATAAATTGTTATAGTATGTAAGTATATTACACTATGAAAAATGTAAAAGACTTTATTTCCATGAAATAGTTCATTAAAGTAACTTGCGTGCAAATAGCTTCTCTCG